CAGGAGAGGAGAGAGAGAAGAGAGAGGGACAGGAGAGGGGGAGGGGAGAGGGAAGAGAGAGGGAGAGGAGAGAGGGGCAGAGAGGGACAGGAGAGAGGGGGAGAGGAGAGAGAGAAGAGAGAGGGAGAGAGAGAAGAGAGGGGTACAGGAGAGAGGGACAGGAGGGGAGAGAGAAGAGAGAGGGACAGGAGAGGGGGAGGGGAGAGGGAAGAGAGAGGGAGAGGAGAGAGGGAGAGGAGAGAGAGAAGAGAGGGGGACAGAAGAGAGGGACAGGAGGGGAGAGGGAAGAGAGAGGGACAGGAGAGGGGGAGGGGAGAGAGAAGAGAGGGGTACAGGAGAGAGGGAGAGGAGAGAGAGAAGAGAGGGGGACAGGAGAGAGGGAGGGGAGAGGGAGAGGAGAGAGGAGGGGAGAGAGTGAATGGGAGAGGAGAGAGGAGAGAGGAAAAGACAGATTCCTTCCATCCTTCCAGCAGCGGAGCAGGAGAAAACATGGGAAAAGCAGTGTTCCCAGGAATCTGGGCTCCGTGTCCTTTCCAGGACTGGCTGGGCTGGGGTGGCCCGACTGCCTCGCCCTGCCCACCCCCCCCCGATCCTGCTGCATCCTGCTCTGGAGCGGCCAGCAGGGTGGGGACAGGAATTCCTGATGTGGGGTTACTGGAATGCAGACCACCTCCGAGTGAGGGATTACTGTGCGAAAACCGGCCCACCAGTTCTCTTGTAATATTGCAGAACACGTATTGTGTGGGGTTTAGTCAGCTAACACTTCAGCAAGTTTATACGATCCTACCCCCTGGGAATCTCCTGGCCTGCAGGGCAGGGACACAGGGATCAGAGCCACTCCGGGTGAAAAGGTGCCCGGCGCAGACTCGAACCCAGAGCCCCCGCAGGGAGGAAAGGTCTTGCAGCTCCAGGGAGCCCAGGTGTGGTATTTCCCCAGGCTGGGAAGTATTTGCCCCACTGAGGGAGTCGGAGCGTTTTTCTACTATCGCAAAGCGCTGCAGAGGGTGGTGAAGTCCCCAGCTCATCCCCAGGGGCGTGTTCCTGGACATCGAGGATTCCTGCTCTGTGAGAAGGCCAGGTCTATCCTCCAGGACCCCAGTCTCCCCAACCACAATCTGTTCTCTCTACTACCGTCTGGAAAACGCTACCGCAGCTTACAGACAAACACCAACAGATTTCAAAACAGCTTTTTCCCTCAGGCACCCACAGCAGCCACCAGCCGTTACCCAAAGAGCACTGAGAAATAGTCAGGACACTTGAGACTGATACGGTGCGCCTGATACTTCGCCTTCTCAGGATATAAATGACAGTGCTAAATACCTCCTATTCCTACTCCTTGTGTTATGATTGCGTAAATCTGGTAAATTGTCAACTAATTTATTGTATTCTACTCTGTAACCTTAATTCTATCAACTTCTGTCCGACAACCACCGCTGTATGCTGTATTGTTGTGCATTGATAAATAAACCTTGATTGATTGATTGCTTGATTGATTTCAGAAAATTATGTAACTGCAGCGGGGTGGTGCATGCATAGCTGTAGCCTAATTGGCTATCGTTTTTGTCAGACGCTCCTAGAGATATCTAGCGCTAGGTTTTTGGTTTGTTAGCCAACTTCGCAAAACAAATACGTGTATCTATGTTTTTCAAAAAGCAAATAAGACACATGAGATGCTACAGGCGTCTTGGGTTTTGAGGAGTACAGCCTGGCTTCCCGAGCACAAGTGGCAGTGCACGCGTTTGCTTGTAGCAGCTCGATACAAGCTCCACCTGCAGGAGCTGAGCATGAAGAGGTTCTAAACTTTCTCCTGTAAACAAATGACAAGTTTGGAATGCATGAATTAAGATAATATTGACGGATAAATGCGAGTGTGCATTTTACAGATAACTATTCAGATATTTAACAGTGCTAAAATACATCCAAAGTATGTATTTGACGCTTTTATTAGCAGACCATTCTTGCAATTAAATCCGCATATCGCGTAGCCAGGAATTGATTTTTGGGTGGGCCTGTGCAAAAGTGGGTGGACTGCTGTTCTGCTGTTCGATTATACCGCTCAAGAATTGCATTGTAAATTGGAGGGGTGCCCCTATGCTGGCAGGACGGTCAGTTAGAGCCCAGGGGTCACTCCCCACTGAGAGCTGGTGTGTGGGGAGAGGACTGGCGCATCATCCATATGTAGTGATAGCCCACATTTGAAAGCTATGCTGCTGTAAACAGGAAATAAACCACTTCCTTTTTCTGACGTCATCTGTAAGTGCCCTATCCTTTCTAAGCTACTTCCTGTGCAAAGCGGAAGAGGCTGGCGGAACGTCTTCTCGGTGACACCGTACACAACAGATGCAGCTGGCGGAGTGTCGCCGACAGCAGGACTGTAAGTTGTTTGTAAACAAACATGTCGGGTTTTCAAATTTCTTCGGTTGTTTTGCGGTAAAGACTTGTTATCTAGAGACTGTAATACGCCGCACATCTAATATAAACGGCCTCGAGTAAGGTACTCTCATTCATTCTGTTTGTTTTAGTCTGAAAAAACGATAGCCTCACGCACATCTGCAGATTGCGACAGTGTCATTAAGGTCAAAAACGATATTAACACGCCTGCATGGACACTCGCTGGGCGGAGTCGAACCCGATATTTCTCCAAAGAAAGCATTTTGTTTGTTTTCTGTAACAGAAACAGCTGCGTGTATCTGAAAACCGCTGAACCCGTGACGTCCTGGTGTGCACCCGGACCTTGCTGTATGTACACGAAGTGTTTCTGCTGTTTAAGGTTTTATTGTTAAAGGTGC